TCTGATTCCATCCCAGTTCACCATACATTTGCATGCCAGCTGTGATCGACAATACAGACAGGACACGCAGTCATCGTCCATCTCAACAAGCACACATATGTACACAGCTAACATTGTAACAGATCACTCTGGGTACGAACACCGGGAACAATCCTTTCTTGTGTCACTGTTGCATGCCCCATTGTGTATAAGATACCTAAAAGGAATTGATGCATTTTATCAAATAGCCGGAACATAGTAGACCTGGGATATTTCTGCGTGTCGGTCTAAACATGGGACGTGGTGGAGCCCGTGCTAAAGCCAGTGGTGGCACATTGACCGGAGAAGGACCACTAATTTCCCAATCACTGTCGCTCAATCTCACATTATTTCAATTCCTACAGACCGGATATTTTGAGAAAGATTTACTCAGCTACTGTGCCAATCGCTTGGCCGAATACTCTTGCATCTATTGGCTCAATCCGAACGTGGATGAAGAAACGGAAGCTGTTGAATTGCACACAGCAGCCTATCAGACGGAAAATGTTGGCTTCAGTAAGCTTAAATTTATAAAATGCCGCACGAAACATTCAATCCAGTGAACGGATGGATTGATAGAATTTTTAAATTTAATGATTAGCTTCAGGGAATATACAATGGTATGTTTTATTGTTTCACTCATCAATTATCTGTTTGATAAGCTCAAATGGTGATTGGGTTTTTACTCCGGATATTTTTATCCGATATACTGCCATATAGAATCCAGGTATACGCAAGAGAGATGTCAAACATACCTTGTTGCGGTTTCATTGCCTCGCATTTAGTGATTACAGGATTATTCGATCTGATTTGTCAATCCATCTTTGATGGAATTTGACATAACAGTATGACCTATGAAAGAAAGAGATATATTTTTTCCGTTGGGAAAACCGATTTACTAGAACTAACGCTAGCACGAGATCACTTGCTTTTGTTGCAAATCGGAGGACTATGAAAAACCAATTGCAAAATATTATGCATAGTTGGTTTATATGTAAAAACATGTTCACCAGTGTTGATAGAGAAACTATTTTTTGGCGATTCCCACATTATTTGTTTAATTCTGGCATTTAGCAAACTAGAAACCAACTAATGTTTGGTAACGTTCCTTACAGCGTTCTGTTTTAGAGTATGGCTTTGAATTCATGGGTGGAAAATATCCGAGTAGCGGAAATCCCACATACCCAACTCATTCCCTTAGAATTCCAATGGATTTTCTCTGCTCAAAATGTGATGAAACAGCTTCAGACTTATTTTACTTGAACTGCACAGCACCCCACCAACAAAGAAGTACCACACAGGCATGAAGGTTTCTTAAAATGAAGCAATAATAGTTGGGGATATTTTTAATCTGAAACAATTCCACACACAAACAACATTACATATTTAAAATGAATACACAAATATTGAAGTAACTAAATTTAATTCCATCATTGGAATGCTCATACTATATGTATTTATTCAAAAATCAATCAACAAAAGAAATCAACTTTTGGGTGCTGTGTTGTGGACAACCAATGTGATATCGATATCTCTACACTTTATTCATTATCTAATACTCAAAAGTTTAGAATTAAAAGTGCATGAAAATTGTAACACTGGTTTTCTTCCGGAAAAATAAACAAAACTTCGTTTTCAAACAGGTAACAATACAATCTGCAATCGAAAGCAAAACATAATTCTGTTTGTAAGATCTTCGGAAAATATGTGTGTTTGTGATTGGACGAGCGAATAGATAAACAATAAATATAAGTCACGGAATCACACGATGCATATAGGATAGCAAAATGTTTTCTATCCAATCCAGAGTTCATTCTTTTACAGACGCCAAGTAGCACAAATCTACAAAATCTGCTAGTGCTTGTGAAAGCAAATGACTCTGTTCCACGCTTTCTGATTTATCAACAGCTAGACGCAATAAAACATTTTAATCTTAAATCGGAAAAACGTTTGACAGTTTTGTTACAAATAATTAAAATAATTATTTGATTCAAATTCTAAAGTAACCCAGAATGCAAAGATGGAATGTTTTGGAAATCTGGAAGAGTTTGCTATCGACACTTCAACGAAAGCAACAACTCAGTTTTCTTCCCAATAGCTTCATACAAATTCTCAAATATCAAGCACAATTTTTTGTGAATAAAATTTAACACCGAATTGATAGAAACGTGGTCATATCATCAGGTTAATCAATGTGGACGCCTACTAGAAAAACATAGACAGCTCAAAAGTTTATTTCGCCCAAATTCAGATCATCATTCCAAAACAACGTTTGCGTGTTATGAATTTAAAAACCACCGATTTTAAAACACGTCAGATTGTAGAAAATCTTGCTTTTCAAGGTACTCTCCGATTCAATCAATAGGCTTTAAAAGATTTTGCATGTCACGTTTGAAACACTAGCTAGCTTTTATATTAGTATGTAGCGTTCCATGAAAATCTGTAAAAGTCTGTGATTTCTTCCTCTGTACGTGTCGAAAAATTCATTTCTTTCAATAATCGTCAAGCCAAAAATAATTTCCGTTTAGCTTAGTGCCATTAGTTACAACAAATCAATCATCAAACGTGGATAGATGGATGTGATTAGGTTTGCCATCCTTTTGCGATTCCAGGAGGGAGGCAAACAGAACGTTTTGTTACAGTGATCACTGATTTGATTTCTTGCATATTTACCGTCATCATAACAGGAAATTTACAGCCGTCAAATAAAAAGATGAGTTCGTAATAGGCCAAAACAAATAACAGAGAAGACAAATATCGAACATCTTTTGATTCACAGGTGCACTAATTTGACTATTCTCTCATTCAATTCAAACGTCATTTAGTATATTGCATCTCAAAAGAGTTGTACTGCTAGTCCAAAATGATACTGAAACCACAAAAAGAGAATATTCTATCTGAAAAAATATTTATGAGTTTTGTAATGGTTCGCGAAGGTTATACTGCTGAGTATAAGAGAATCATAAAAATCGCATCTATAAGGACTCACCAAGGCTTGTTCATTATTATTTGGAAGATAAACTACTTCAGTATAAATGCTGTTGCCTTTACGCACCGACAAGTGTTTCACAGGGACCCGTCCCTTTAGTTTCTTTTAGATCTGTATTGCATGCACATTTTCTTATATCTGGTGCACTTAAATCTTTGTGAGTTTCGCAACATACTTATTAACTGGTGCAATCTTTAAATTGGAAATGGTTCAATCTAGGCGCAGTTAATTTACAGTTGTCATCTCGAAATACATAAGAACTCGTTTCATTCAAAGGTGATGCACATTTCTGAATAGGATTGTAAATGCACTGAAGTAAACTAGCAAAGGAATGGCCTTGTTTTTACATCATACTTCTGCATATAAGAATGTCAGCAAAAGATGTAAAACGGTGAAACCAATGTTTTATAATTGTTCATTTTGGAAGGCAACCGTCAAGTTTGTGAAAAAAGTTTTCAAACACTCACGGTTATGAGGTGAACTTTCTGTCTGTTATACTCGCCAATTTGGTCGCAGAAAAACTTACGAGTGTGCGGTAAACGATGAGCTAGATCACCCAAGCTGTCAAACTCTTTCAACTGCATGGTAAGCAGTTGATGTCAACGCAAATACAGATATCCAGCCGAACTATTTGATATTTTTACCGGATGTCATTATAATTGCTTTGAAACGGATAAATACGTTTGTAGGTCTTCCGTCTGTCGGGTAATTTTTGTAGGAGTGAATCCAGATTTTTCAGTAATCAGTCCTCCTTGTGAAACATTTTTTATTGGCTCAACCGTGCGCGTGAACAAGATACTAGTTGGATAAAATTTATGGCCTGAACAAAATACGAGCCCTGTATTTTGCTGATAATCATCTAACATCTAAACACATACGATACAATGTTAATCCGAGGCTCGTTAATTAGAATAACAGAAGAAATAGTACGTAAAGTCGTTCATTGAATTTGTACAGCATATACCACCCGCCCCGCCCCTCCCGAAGGTGTGTGCCCCCGCGCACGTGTGACGTGTCTGTATTTTGTGTAAAGAAAACTGTCCGCAGTTGCCCGGTTTTCCTTTGCGAGTATCGTGCAACCGACAAGAGCTGACATCTACCCGACCCCATTTTTGCCTTATTCATGACTAATCAAACTCCAATGAACCATCTTTAACAACCTTGGATAATTGTGCTGGTCATCATTTTCAAAAATCGAGATGTTCTCGTTGTTCTTTGCAAACACCGTATTTGAGCTATGTGCGAGACCGCCAGGCTTTCCTATGCTGCTGAAACATGGCATCTATCTGCTGACCTCACGGTTTACTAATATTCCCGAACAGTATCTATTTGGCAATAAATACTTGCCTGAAAATCCACAATGTATTCGATTGAATCACGTTAATGAAAATGAAATTATTTATTTATTGCAAACCTTTGGTCACATATGTGAAGCGACAATATAAATAAAATATTTCTAGTTTTCATAGCGGCTGAGGGACAAACCGAATTTATGCCCATATGCGTTTTCTGGTGTTTTTCAAATCATCTATTGATGTACGATTAATCTTGTTCTTATCCACTAAACTACACTCGGCCCAGGGGCGCATATCGCGAGGAAAATGTGATTGAATTTTGTTGGATTACCTTGCCAAAAAAGCGTCTGGCAAAAGCAGTACGTTTATCGATCGGATTAGAACCGCATTAGGCATTGGACTTTATTAGCCAAATTCCAAATGCATGTATAGCAGCTACATTAAATCGACAATCGGAGATGTTAAATACATTTCAATCGCTTTAAACTCAGAAGTGATAATGTGAGATGGTTTTTTAACCGATAAACCAGTGCACCCAGTGGTTGAAATTATTTGATTTCGCTATAATATCTGATTTTGTTAAACGTCAGCGGCAAATTGTATCATATTTCTTTGAAACCTTTCCTTAACTACTCGTCTTGCAAGTGTGTTTGTCTCAAATGATCTCAATAACAAATCATCGACGTCCAATTCTTTGTCAACAACTATTCAATTTGGATAGCAATTTGTAAAAATGTGACAGAATTAAGCACTCCGTCTGAATTCAACTGGCCCTATTGAAAATCATGATTTTAACCACAACTTTGTTATCCAGCAAATCTCTGTTTTATTTTCGCGTTTTGCCATCATAAGACAAAACCAATCTATAAATCGGATTCACGGTAAACTCGTTGTTTCTGTCTGACGCCTTCCAATGCTATTGTGAAACACCGAATAACCATTGCAAATAAATAATAAATATTATTTTAATTCTACTTTTATTTATTTATTATACAAATGTACAATCAACATTGAATGGTAGTTGTAAGCAAATGGGCGTAAAAGGATCATCTGTTTCATTGAAAAAAAGAATGGGCTTAGTGGATTGATCATCAACATATTTCATCATGCAACTTGTGTGAAACAGTAACAATACAACGGTTCTTACTGTGTGTCTGCAACGTAGGTTCCGTCAATCGTTTTAAATTTAAATTCCATGATTGGCTACAACTTATCAGGTATATTCTGTTATC